TCTACTGCTGACCTCCCAAAGCCCACGGTCAACAGGCATGTCTCTGTGACCAAAACTAAAAAGGTTCTTCCTTCCACCGAGATACCTCTGACAAACCGCTTTGAAGTTCTAGGGGAGGACAGGGTGGATTCTCCCTCCGCCCTCTCTCCTCCCCCTCTCCCCTCCTCTATCACTTCCTCTTCTTCTTCCTTTTCTTCTCGTTCTTCTTATACACCGACAACAACACACTCGACAGACAAATACATCTTAAGACGACCCTACAGGCTATTGCCGTACGGGTCACCCTGCACAGACCAATCACGATCTGCTCAGTTTATATTCCACCAAATTACCCCCTCAAAATAACCCAACTAAATAACTTAAAAGCTCAGCTTCCAAAACCATTTATTTTGCTAGGTGCTTTCAATGCCCACAGCCCCCTTTGGGGAGACAAACCTACAGACCAGAAAGGAAAAAATAATAGAAGATTTTTTATTTCAAAATAACATGTCTCTTAAATGATAGGTCCCCAACTTACAGAAACAGAGCCACTTATGGCACTTCATCCCTTGACCTCACCTTTTGTACCCCTGACCTAGTCCTAGATCTTGAGTGGTCTGTGCAGGATGACCGTACGGACCATTTCTCAATTCTCCTAAAAAACAATAGCCTCCAAAATGACCCGATCCCAGAATGCTTCAACTTCAAAAGAGCAGACTGGGACAGGTTTGCCAATCAATGTTCCCAGATTCTTAATCCCACTTTCGACCTCAACTACAATAAATTCCACGAAAAGCAGCCCCAGGACCGGATGACATCCTCAACCAGATCATTAGACACTTACCCTCAGAAACACTCACACTTCTACAATACATATACAACGACATGTGGCGGTCGCACTCCTTTCCGGAGTCTTGGCGTCTTGCCACTGTCATCCCAATACCCAAACCAAACAAGGACCACACACACCCATTCAATTACAGACCAATAGCACTAACGAGCTGTCGAGCTAAAAAAATTTATTGTTACCTACAAGAGTTGTTTTAAATCACAAATATATTTACACTGAATTTTAATATTTTAACATTTTAGCATTTTAAAGTCAATTAGTTAACCAATCGTGCTATGAACTTTTGTGAAAGTAGACAACTTGTGTTTCGTGCGCTCATATGACCTTAGCAGTTGCGAGCGCCGTAAAACCCTATACTACAACAACATTTTAAAAATAAGCCCTGAACACATACCAAAAACAAGAACAAATCCCCGGAAGAACAAGATATGGTTCTCTTGGGAATGTGAAGATGCAGTAAAGAAAAAGAAGGCAGCGGATCGAAGGGCCGTCAACAACACCACCACAGAAAACAAGATAAATTATTTAAAGGCTCGAGCTGTGGCACGTAGATGCCTCAGGGAGAGCAAAAGACAATCATTAAAAAAATACATCTCCAAAATCAACAGCCAGACACCACTCAACCAAGTTTTCAAAATCGCTAAAAAATTCTTGGGTAGACGCACAGACACCATTCGGCACGTCCAGAGGCCGGATGGAACCACAGCTGAAACACAAGTAGACATCGCAAACACAATAGCTACATCTCTCGCCAGTAACTCATCCCAAGCAAACTACAACACCACTTTTCAAAACATCAAAACTAACAGAGAACAACAACACCTAAACTTCCACTCAAACAACACTGAAACCTACAACGCAGACTTTACAATAGACGAACTAACATCGTGCATCTCGGACCTGGGCAACACAGCCCCGGGACCGGATGACATCCACAACCAGATCATAGGACACTTACCCTCAGAAACACTTACACTCCTACTAGACATATACAATGACATGTGGCGGTCGCACTCCTTTCTAGAGTCTTGGCGTCTCGCCACTGTCATTCCAGTACCCAAACCAAACAAAGACCACACACACCCATTCAATTACAGACCAATAGCACTAACGAACTGTCTGTGCATACTTATTGAAAAAATGATTCACAGGCGACTCATGTGGTTTCTGGAAACGAGGGGCTCGCTGAGCGGTCTCCAGTGCGGATTCAGGAAAACTCGATCTACTCTGGATCACCTGGTCCGCCTGGAGACCTTTATACGCGAGACGTTCGCTGAAGGAGGCCACATGATCGCCATTTTTTTTTACCTAGAAAAAGCCTTTGATACAACCTGGAAGTACGGCATTCTTCGAGACCTGCACGCACTCGGCATACGCGGTCACCTCCCTGCCTTCATTGGTATGGCAACTCCCTGAAGAACCGTTCCTTCCAGGTTCGTGTCGGATCCTCCCTTTCAGACCCCCGCCAACAGGAGGAAGTTGTCTCCCAGGGGAGCATCCTTTCTCCTCTCCTATTTGAAATTAAAATAGATTCCATCGTAAAAACCCTCCAAAACAGCATAGACAGCTCGTTATACGTTGACAACTTTTTGATATGCTGCCGTTCAAAAAATCCTCATCTGAGATCTATGGAAAGGCAGCTGCAAACGCAGCTGCACAAACTCGAAAAGTGGGCAAACAATAACGGTTTCAAGTTCTCCCCGTCAAAGACGGTTGCAGTACACTTCTGCCGAACAGGCTGACGTGTGCTGCAGCCGGATTTGACACTCTACGGGGAAAGGATTCCCGTCCAGGACCAAGCTCGTTTCCTTGGTGTTATATTCGACAAAAAACTCACATTCATACCACACAACAAAGACCTTCATGTGAGGTGCCAGAAAGCATTAAACGCTTTGAAAATTCTATCGCATCCGGAGTGGGGCGGGGACTCAAAACACCTTCTCCACTTGTACATCTCCCTTGTCTGGTCCAGGCTTGACTAAGGCTGTCAAGTCTACGGATCGGCAAAACCACATTTCCTGAAAATGCTAGACCCAGTACAAAACCAAGGGCTCCGCCTCGCACTGGGGCTTTCCGCACTTCCCCGGTGGAGAGCCTCCAGGCCGAGGAAAACATACCACCACTTTCACTCAGACGCACACAACTCTCACTACAATACGCAATTAAACAGAGCTCAACACCGGAAAATCCAGTTCACAACTACATTTTTAAAACAAACCCAGAAACCATAAACAAATTCCAAAACAACGAAAAACTAATCAATCCCTTCGGCCTCAGAATCCTTGAGGACCTAAAAAACTTACACTTTTTCAAACAAGACATCCAACAATTTCTTTTCCCCGACCTCCCTCCGTGGCACCTCACCAAGGCAAAAGTAGTCTTACAGCTGACCACACACAACAAAGAAAGCACAAACTCCAAAACTTTTAAAGCAGAACACAAAAAACTAATAGATAAATACCTCGGTGCGGAGCTCATCTTCACGGATGGCTCCAAAAAAGACGATGAAGTGGGCGCCGCAGCCCTATCTCCCAACAGTACACACCAGAGGAGACTCCATACTGAAGCCTCCATTTTCACTGCGGAGGCCACTGCCATTGACATGGCACTGGACTCCGTAGAAAATTCTCCTTACAAATTATTCCTTATCCTTTCTGACTCTCAGTCTTGCATCACCTCACTCACAAACTACACACTCCTACACCCAAAAATAGTTAGGCTACAACAGAAAATTCATACGCTATCAGAAACAGGAAAAAACATTATGTTCGCATGGATACCTAGCCATGTGGGCATCCGAGGAAACAAGCAGGTAGACGACCTGGCGAAGAAAGCCTCATCCCTTCTGCTGGGATCAACGACAAACACTCTCCCACAGACTGACTTTAGAAATAAAGTCAAAAAGTACACCTCCAGTCTGTGGGAGAGCCACTGTGAAAAACAAGAAAATACAAACTGTGTGGTATAAAACCCAAGCTGGAACAGCGAAATCCTTCGGACCTCTCCAGAAGAGACGAAGTCATTTTTACTCGATTGCGCTTTGGACACACGGCCCTGACTCACAAATACCTCCTACAGGGAGATGAGAAGCCGTATGCGACACAGATTTTACCATTAGACACATCTTAACCGAATGTCTAGACTTTGGAGAGATCCGAAGGAAATATTATAAATGCAAGAAATTGCAAGATATTTTTTCCGCCGTTCGTCCCAGCAGAATTTTAGATTTTATGAAGGCCATTGGCCTTTATGGCAAATTGTAAAGTGAAACAATATTGTTAAAAATCTTTTTTTGTTACTTACAAGAGTTGTTTTAAATATATTTACGCAGAATTTTAAATATTTTAGCATTTTAAAGTCTAATTATCGACCAACCGTGCAGTGAACTGTAGCGAATGCTACCAACTTGTGTTTCGCACGCTCATATGACCTTATGCAGTTGCGAGCGCCGTATAACCTGTGTACTAAACAAACAAACACACACACACACACACACACACACACACACACACACACACACACACACATACACACGCACCTCCATTCAGACACTCTCTCTCACATCCTCTCTTCCTCACTCATCTGTACACATACACATATAATAATATGCTTGCGTTTACAAACAGATCGACAGTTACACGCATAACATAAATGAACAATTATTGTTAACAATAATAGTCTTTCCAGCTAGATACATCATCAGAATTCTGATAGTAACCTGATGATATTCTGATAATACATGATGTAAAAGTCATAGGAATACTTATATTACAAGATGGATTAAGATGTATGGTATTGGTATTGAAATCATGAGTGTTGTAAAAATGCTCATGAGAAACAATTTCCCTACACGTCATTAACAAAGGAATCTCAAATAAATGAATTTAGCAAGTAGTTGAAGTTTGTCCCATGTGAGTTTTTTCCTCAACACTCCCTTTCCGAGTTTGAGAAAAAATATGTATGTTGTGGCATGTAGCCTATGCTAATGTGGGTTATGTTACCACATCGTATGAACAGTGAGGCCATAACCTTTGTTCGCTGTCCACTATATTTTCATAACTGGTGAAACAAATGGCATATGGTGATCAGTTTTGATTTGATGTGGAGTAATTTAATGTCTCTGCTCTAGCTTCTTGGGCACAAAACATAATTTGTCTTCTTTTTCTTGCAGATTTCAGAACGAATAATGAGATGACTTTAGAGGTGATAAAAGATTTTGCATGTCAGCTGCTTTGTGGCATCCATTTCATACACTTCAAGAAACTGATCCATAGAGATATCAATGTAAGCAGTCTTGTCTCTTTTAGTTGTATGTTACTTTTATTTTGATTGAGTTGTGTTTCCATCATTGTGCTGCTCCATATTTTTTTTGTTTCGTAATTTTGCTGCTTCATGTTTTTTCCTAGGTTGTTCAAACTAGCCGGGCAGGTGGGCGAAGTCACCGATTTTGCTTGAATTTAGTACAATGTTTCTACCATCTGTTATAAAGCCCCATCATATTTATCTGATCTTTTAGGACCGTATGTTCCATCTTGTCAGTTACGGGCACCCACAGATGCAACAAAATAAATTCAGAGCCCCTAGAATAAAATTGCGATATTTTGATGAGAAAATTTGAAAACCTGTATTTTAATGCACATAATACTCACCTGGTGCTTCAAGCCCCACCTGAAGTGATAGGGTCCAAATTTAAAAAATCAGAAAATGTGCATTTTTTCAACAAGAAACTTTACATTGACATAGTATTCCTAAATTATGGTTTTCGAAACGTCTGATAGCAAAGTACACTGGTGCTGGTCAAATCAAAAGCATTTCAGGTAATGTTTGAAAGTTCGGCAGGATTAATATCGTGTGTGACCGCCGCCTGCAGCAATGACGGCGCGGCATCTGCGCCTCGTAGAGTTGACGATATTGGAAATTTAATGTTTTGGGATAGCGTTCCAAGCGTTGGTTAGGCTTTGAATCAACTGAGCGTTGTTCTGAGGAGCGGGATTCATGTCTTGGATTTGACACCCAAGAATATCCCGCACATGTTCAATCGGGTTCATGTCGGGTGATACTGTTGGCCAGGGATGGATGAAACCGAATCGTTGTTGTGCGAGGTAAGCTTGTGTCACCCTCGCACGATGGGCTGGATCGTTGTCCTGTTGTAAGGTGTAGCCTGTATGGTTCTGCATAAACGGTGCCACATGTGGCTGCAAGATGGTGGCTATGTAGTTGGAGCCATTTTATGCTTCCGGAACATGTACCAGTGCCGTCCTGTGGTCTGTTGTGATTCTGCCCCAGACCATCACCTGCCCATATCCCCGGTTAGGGATTTCATGTAGGCCTACACACTGGTCAGCAAACCTTTCAATTCGACGGCGATGTACCCGCATTCGACCATCGTGGCAACCTAGGACAAAGCCAGCTTCAGCTCAAGTTTTAAAAAAATTCAGTTTGGACTACCTATTTTTTTTTTTACTTTTGTCCTGCTCCATGTTCTTTTCTTTTTTCATGATTGTCATGCTCCATGTTCTTTTTTATGATTGCCCTGTTCCATGTTCTTTTCTTTTTTCAAGATTTTCCTGATCTATGTTCTTTTCTTTTTTCATGATTGTCATGCTCCATGTTCATTTTTCATGATTGTCTTGTACCATGTTCTTTTCTTGTTTCATGATTGTGCTGCTCCTTGTTCATTTTGATTGATTGATTTTTTTTTACAGGAGGACAACATCATGGTGAAGTTCATAGACGGCATCTGTCGGCTCAAATATATAGACGTTGGCTCGTCCCGTGGTAACTGATGCAGAATTTGCAGTGGGATTGAAAAAGAAAATGTGTACTTGCAGTGAATGTGGGGTGTGGGAGCCTGCTTTGAGAAGAAAATCTTGTCATATGATGATTGACGTATAGTGCTCATGTGCTGTCATGAAGGGGCTATCCAGTGAAATTTGCTAATAATGAAGTCCTTGGGCCTGACCTTCAAGGTGTTCATGATAAGAAAGGTGTGACTAAACTGATAATTTGGGGAAGGGGGGGGGAGGGGGTGCAGCTGAAATTTCCGATTTGGGTCTAGATTATCGATTTTGAGTTGTGGACATTTTTGGCTTCTTTAGCCTCTCTTACAACTATTTCATGGCAATTTAAAAAAACCCGTATCCTTTATTTTGTCGCATATTGGGCATTTTAGTGGGTAGTCTTCACCACTATATCCTCTTAGAGTCCCTCTATTTTCCCGCTGTTTTTCTTTATACTTTTTAAAATGATTCCCATTTTTCATCCAATCTTCATGAATTTTTCACAGAATGAAAAGTTGCTACACTATAAAACTGTTTGTTGAATTTACAGTATACGGAATAGATTTTTGTTGGTGATGTCTTGAGTGTGAGCTTTCACAGATTTTTTTTTTTCAGCTTTGAATACAGTAGTCTCCGCCTAAACGCACGGTGCTCGGTAGGGCTACTTAGCGTGGGTTTATACAGAGCGTGCGTTTAACTGAACCTGTGCAAAGGGAGGAAGGGACGCAGTCAACTCATTGCCGTGATATTCTAGTGACCTCCTTTTGGGGTGGGGGTCACTTTGGGCCGATAATGTGATGACACCTGGCGGTTTTGTGAAGGATTCCCCGATTGCGGTAAAGAATGCAAAGGCGTTGAATGGGTGTGTGTGTGTGGGGTGGATAAGAAATACAGACTCAATGTAATGATATACACCATATTAATGTCGGGAACTGATAGCGTAAGAGGAAGCTGCTGGTGATACTCATAGAGACGATGGCCCAGCCACGTGGCTTTCCAAGCAACCCCCCCCGACCGTAAATTCACGGACGAGCATTCACGCGTGCTGCACATCATAAGCCTAGGTCTAATTAAACATTACATGCAGTAACGCAGTCGCCTAAACACCTGTCAGAAACCTTCTCTTCTTAAAAGTCCCCCAACCCCCCAATATTTCACCGACCAGTCCTAGACCAGACCTATATACTGTCTGTGGAAAGTTGGGTGTGAAAACGCTGTCCATCACTCTCTTTGTTCGGCGTGAGGGGCAGTCTCTCCAAATATCATGCTGTCAAGGCTTGTCATGCAAGCTGTGCAGATTTCCCTTTGTTGAGCTTAACCTGTCGGCATGTTTCGGAGATCAGAGCGTGCGCTTAGAGGAAGTGACCGTGCGTTTGCACGTCTAAATTATGTAGTAAAAACACAGTCAGATGACGAAAGCGTGCGTTAGAGCGGAGCGTGCTTTTGTATGGCGTGCGTTTAGGCGGAGACTACTGTACTACCTCAAGAAAAATTTAATGAGAAAATTTCTTATTCGTTCAGGAAAAATTAAACAGATGAATTTTAAGAACTATTGTTTCCAAATGTGCCTGCAAAATATCTATCGATTTCCACTGAAAATAAGTGAGATGTTATTGTATTGGGACACATCAACAAAATCCAATATGGCCGCCGTCTCCATGGCAATGAAACTTTTGTCCTAAAATTTTTATTACTTACCTCTGCTTGCCAACCCGACAGGCGACCCTCTGAACCC